TCGGTGGTCCCTTAGTGTCTGCATAAGTTCTATCCAGGACCTTCTGGCTTTCATTGTTTCCATGAGAAATCAGGTGTAATTCTGATAGGTCTGCCTTTATACATTACCTAGCTTTTCTCCTTTGCAGCTCTTAACATTCTTTCTATATTCTGTATGTTTATTGTTTTGGTTTATTATGTGGCAAGGGGACTTTTTTTGAATTCATTGTATTTGGTGTTCTGTAAGCTTCTTGTACTTTCATATAGGCATGTCCTTTTGGTTGGGAAAGTTTTCTTCTATAATTTTGTTGAATATATTTTCTGTGCCTTTGAGTTGGACTTCTTCTATCCCTATTATTCTTAGTTTTGGTCTTTTCACGATGTCCTAGATTTCCTGCATGTTTTGTGCTAAGGATTTGTTGGATTTAAAATTTTCTTTGACCGATGAATCTATTTCTCTATTGTATCTTCAATGCCTGAGATTCTCTCTTCCATTTCTTGTATTCTGTTGTTCATGCTTGCATTTGTGGTTCCTGATCATTTACCCAGATTTTCCATTTCCAGAATTCCCTTTGGGTTGTGTTTTCTTTATTGACTCTATTTCAGATTTCAAGTCTTGAATCATTTCCTTCACTTTTGTTTTCTTGGTTTTCTTCCCCCCCCCCCCCCCCCCCCATTCAGGGTTTCTCTGTGTAGCTTTGGAGCCTATCCTGGCACTTGCTCTGTAGACCAGGCTGGCCTCAAACTGCCTCTACCTCCCAATTGCTGGGATTAAAGGCGTGTCACCAACACCCAGCTTTCTTGGTTTTCTTTAATGGGTTTGTCAATTTCTTCCAATTTTTTGTGTGTCTTTTCCTCCATTTCTTTAAGGGAATTTTTCATGTCCTCTTTAAATGTCTCAATCATCTTAATATGTTATTTTTAAGGTCGTTTTCTTCTGCTTCATCTGCATTGGGATGCTCAGGTCTTGCTGTTGTAGCATCACTAGCTTCTAGTGGTGCCGCATTGCTCTTCATATTGTTGGGTGTGTTCTAACCTTGTTGCCTGTGCATCTCTTCATCTAATTGTTTTAGGTGGAGCTTGTGCTTCAGGGGGTCTTTCTTTCTCCAGTTGGTATAATTGGGGGTCGTGGCTCCATAGTCCGTTACTTGAGCAGAGCCGAGCAGAGCCTCTGGTTAACGCTTCTCCTGGTGGAAGTGGGCCCAGGGCTCAGGTGGTGGCTCCTTGAGATGCAGGTGGGGCTGCGGATCTAGTGGATGCTCCTCCCTTTGGAGGCGGGACCACAGCTCTGGTGATTGCTCCTCTAGGTATAGCTGGGGCTGAGGGTCCAGTGGTCGCTGTAGCGTCCGGGCATCTCTAACTGAGGAATGGCTGGCGGTGGATGCTGGCTGGGACACAGGTGCTCTTTCCCAGAGGAACTTCTTGTGAGAGCTTCTGGAAGCCACTGCTGTCATGTCATCCAGTGGTCACGCCCTGCTCCTGGGCCTGAGGTTCAGGCTTCTGACTGCTCCATCTTGACTTAAGGTCAGAGAGTTCAAACTCATTCTTGCTCAAGACAGATAACAGAATGTTTGGCCAAAGGCATAGCTACTAGATGTTTTTGAGAATTAAGGAGGTAATTACATTTGTTTGTTCCTTGTATCAAGGAAGTCTTTTGCTCTCCCCTTTTGCTTTGGGCATAAAAGGGCTATGAAATTCGGGGCCTCTATAGTATTCACTGAGAGCCCTCCTGACTCATCCTTTCTCAGTCCTCACTCCCCTTTGTAGGCTGGTCCCGACAACACAGGTGAGCAGCCTTGGGGAGATAGGCTTAGGATCATAGTTAGGAACTTGGAGATGGAACTTTGTGTGAAGACACTCAGTGTAATAAAATACAACTTTTGTTATACCATCTGAATGTCATCTACCTTTGCCTGCAACAGCTTCCTAGTGAGAAATCGCTCCACACACTTATAGATTAATTAAGGAAAATCTCTTTAATGGTGCTTGTTGGCTAGACTAATGCCCAAGGAAGAGCTAGGTGTTTGACAGATTTTACTAAATTATATTCACTTTAGGCTTAAGCACTCCACAAACACTGTCATCCTTGAATCTCTTTCAGATCCTGGTCCCAGGTTACACTTTGAACAATTTAAACAAAGACAGGAGACTAAAGTCTGGCTGCTTAGGCAGACAGGAGATTTACACAGCAAAGATATTACATATTACTGTAATTATTTTATATACACCAGTGTTACTTGTGGAAAATTTTGATCACACTCTGACACTCCCAAGACCACTAATAAAGTTAACCTTGAATCAGAGGGCAGAGCTAGTTGACCAAAATTAGCCATAGAGGTTTTGGAAGACTGAGGACATAGAGACACAGGAAGTAGAAGGTTTAGAAAGATTCTCTGCCCTTTTGGATCAAGGAAGAAGAGAGAAAGTCACTGGTCGCTTCTCCACCCCTTCTCTGATCATTTAGGTTTCTACCCCCATATCTGACTCCCAAGTTTTTACTGATAAAAGAATAATTAGATAAACACTTCAGTTACTCCTTTTCAAATAGTTGTTACCCAGGTTCATCTTGCCCACCTGGCAGAACTACGTTTTTCCTGATGGAAGCACAGAGGGATTTAATGGCAGACCAGAAATTTAGGATACAATCTCCCAAATCCTGCCCCCTTTCTTTATGGATTGTTTGTTTTGCCATTCATTTGCTAAAAGGAATCTATGTTGGGTCTGGTGAAATGTAACCCAGCACTGGAAATGCTGAAGGAGAGAGAGAGGACAGACTTGGATTTGTAATTAGAGCCTGCTAAAGGGAAGAGAGAAGGAAGAGGTGTGAGGGGAGAGAGGGGCAAGAAAGAGGGGTGGGGGAGGAGGCACATCGTTTATCACAGGATTTCTTTTCCTTCGTTTGTTTGAGACAGGGCTTCTCTGTGTAGCCCTGGCTGGCCTGGAACTCTTGATCAAACTCAAGAAATCCGCCTGCCTCTGCCCCCTGAGGGCTGGGATTAAAGGCATGTGCCACCATTGCCGAGCTCACCTATTATTTTTAAAAAGATTTCTTTTTCTATGTGTGTATGTTTTGTCTACATGTATTTCTATGTACCACATATGTGTCTTGTGCCTTCGGAAGCCTGAATGAAGAACTCTCGTAGGACTGGAGTCACATGTAAACCACCATGTGGGTGCTGGGAATTGAGCCCAGGGTCCTGTGCAAGAGCAGCTGGCGCTCTGGCTGATGAGCCATCTATGTCTCCAGCTTCGCCACCTTCACTTCATTTTAACCCAGGCTTCAGCAAACTTACTGGCACTGGGAGCTGGACAGGTGGCTCAGCAGTGACGAGCACTTGTTCTTGCAGAGGACCTGAGTATGATTCCAGCAACCACACAATGGCTCACAACTGTTCACAACTTTAGTTCCAGGAGACTGATGTCCTCTGCTGACCTCTGTGGACACTGGGCACCACACATGATGCATACAGCTACACACAGGCAAAACACTGATACACATAAAAGTTTTAAAAATGTGGGGGCCGGAGAGATGGCTCAGAGGTTAAGAGTGCTGGCTGCTCTTCCAGAGGTCCTGAGTTCAATTCCCAGCAACCACATGGTGTCTCACAACCATCTGTTATGAGATCTGCTGCCCCTCTTCTGGTGTGCAGATATACATGGAAGCAGAATGTTGTATACATAATAAATAAATAAAATAAAAAAGTTTAAAAAATTCAATTTAATCGAATTTTAAAAATTGAATTTCAGCCCTGCAACAAGGATACTGGTTAGTACCCTGTACCAACTGAAGTTTAGTATACCCTGAGAACAGTGAGATGGGCAAGAAAGTGATGGGGCTGTAACAGCTGTTCTTTACATTATAAAAATCAAACTAACAGCTTATGTCTTGGAGAAAATCTTGGAGGTCACCACCTGAAAAATGAAATTTTTTTGTTTCCCATAGGCTTACTTTGGTTTTTGTCATTACTGTTTGGATGGGGCCTTATATTATGGTCCAGGCTGGATTGTAGTAGAATTCATTATATCGTACAGACTGGCCTCAAACTCACAGCCATCCTCCTGCCTCTGCCTCTAGAGTTCCGAGACTGCAAGCATGACCCACCATGGCTTCCTACAGATGTTCCTGTTGATAGACTCTTGAGCTCGGCCATAACAAATGTGTAAAGCTACTTGTGACATATGGTGCCCTGGCTTCCAAATGCACAACTGCATTTGTAGTATAGAGAAAACAGTTTCTGAAAGCAGCCTGGACAGCGCACCCTCTGCTTTGATGGAGCAACGTCATGATGGAGTGGTACCATGCAGGCAGAGCCATGATTAGTAGAGTGTTAGTGAAAACTACTTTCTGAAATGGGCTGGAGCAGTGAAGAACACTTGCTTCTGTCAGAGGACCTTGGTTTGGTTCTGGGCACCTACATCAGGCAGCGTATAACCCCCTGTGACTAATTACACAGAAGTCTGACAACTCTAGTCTTTACAAGAACCTGCATGCACACGGTGCACACAAACCCATCCAGGCATGCATACACACACACACCACACACCCAACATACACACATACAGAACATACACACACAACACACACGGTCGTTAAATCTTTTTAAAATATTTATAATGTGTATGGTGGCTCACACCTTTTAATCCCAGCACTCAGAAAGCAGAGGCAGTGGATCTCTGTGAGTTTGAGGCTAGCCTTCTCTACATGAGTTGCCAGCCACGGCTGAATGACAGCCTGTCTCAGAGCTGTACAGGTCCTGCACAGAAGGTGGCTAGAGTACAAAGATTAAGTTGAAATCCATCAGTTACGATGTTTTTGAGTATAAGTTAGAGAAAACTAATTGAGGGCTGGTAAGATGGCTCAGCGGGTAAAGGTGCCTGCCACCAAGCCTGGTCACTAGCACTGGACCACTGGAACCCCACATGGTGGTAGCAGACACTCAACATCTGCAAGTTACCCTCTATTCCATACATGTCCCATGGCAAGCACATGCATGTGCACACAGAGTAAATAGCAACTCAAAGTTAAAATGTAATGTGTTTTTATCCCAAGCATGAAGCTCACCAGCAGAACAGGCACCAACCACAGGTACAGCAGAGCTCTGGGTCCTCAAATTGGCTACAGTGAGGGGAGGATGTGGCTCTGTGGTAGCGTGCTTGCCCACAGAATGCCAGAGGCCCTGGGTCCCATTCCCAACACTGAATGGAATAAAAACAAAGGCTACTATTGTCTCAGCTGCCATGCTTTGACAGACTATCTCTCAGAGAAGAGACACATCCCTGTGTCCTTCCTGGTCACAAACAAGGAGACAGGATGACAGTGCCTCACACCCACCTCTGGATGGGCACAGGATTCACCAGCTCCTGAGTCACACCAGGAGGGACAGGCACCAGCTACTTAGTAAAGCTGTGCACTGCTCAAGTCAGGAGACCCCTCCACATGCAGTGACCGCCACGTGTCCAGCAGATGGCAGTAAGGTGCCTGGACCCAGAGTAACCCCCATCTATGTGGTGACAGTGAGAAGGAAGGGTTGAGAGTGCGAGGGCATTCATCTCCCTGCACTAACCAGCTGCACCAGAGCTTCAGCACTTATCTATGTGACAGGAAAGCACCCCACCCTAAGTCTCCTAAAATTACACCTGGAAAAGTCTATCTTAGTGATAATATTCCACTGCAGGGTTAAGGAAAGTTTCAGAGATCTTATTAATTCCAGTAAACTCTAAAGACAAATACTAAGGCGAACAGATATTCAACACTGGAAAGCCACTATGTTCAAAACTCACTATTACCAATGAAAAGCCCCAAATAAAATGCCAAGCTTGACCTTTTTAATTTTTTTCTAAGACAAGGTCTTGAGGTGGGTGGTGAGGTAAGAGTGGACTGGGGGTAAATATGATCAGTACATGATTTAATATTCTCAAAGAATTAAAATGCTGTACTTAAAATAATGCAAGTTCTTAACGTATTCTAGGTTAGGTTTGTACTATCTGGCTGAGGCTGATGGCCTTGAATGTCTCCTTCCTGACTCCATCTCCTCAGTGCTGGGACTACAGGTGTGCAACGCCACACACTTAGTATTCTAGAGTGCTGGGAACTGAACTCAGGCCCTTGTTCATGGTAGGCACGCAATCTACCAACTGTACTGCATTCATAGCCCTGTTTTTTGAGTTACTTTGTGTGTATGTGCGTGTGTGCACACATATGTGGGTTACAGTATAAGCCAGCAGAAGGCACTGGATCTCTTGGAACTAGAGTTACTGGTAGTTGTTAGTGCCCAATGTGGGTCTGGAAACCAAACTCATGTCCTCTACAAGAGATGCAAATGTCCATAATTGGGGAGCGGTCTCTTTAGCACTTTTGATTTTTCAGATAGTTCAGGATGGCCTAGAACTCACGATTCCTCAGCTCTACCTTCCGAGTTTACATGCGTGTGCAGCCATACCAAGCACAGTAAGTTATTTTAATAAAAACAATACTCCATCTAATATTAAATTGTTATAGCACATAGAAAATAACTAAGCTAGGCGTGACTCAGTGGTAGAGCACTTGCCTAGCATACACAAAGTCATTAAGTTTGATCCCCAGGACCATAAAAATACAAAAAATGGAAAGAGGAAGAAAATGACTACAAGTTGAGAAAGCTACCAACTAGAGACATGGGTATTATCGTTTGAAGACTATGCTATACAATTATGAGGTTGTGGGATACACAATGATATGCCAAGGTGTGTGTGTGTGGGGGGGAACTAAGACTGGATAGTCAATTACCCATTCCTATAATTTCTATATATCAAACCAAGATTGTACAAATGACTGTATGATCTAAAAGTGCAATTATTTCCACTGGACCCATTTACATTCAGGGTCAGTAATAAATGCAGCGTGTGCGATGAAATGGAATTCCTCTCATGTCGTCCCTGTGGTCTCGGGCATAGTCCCACAGGTAATAATCCAGAAGAACGGAGTTGACCTCACCCTGCGGTTTCTCTCCCCTTTTTTCAAGAAGCTCCAGAAGACAATCCCGAATCAGCTCAACACACCAAATCGAGCAGCCTCTAATTTCCACCTCTTGTCTCTCTCCATTCGAGAGCATTTCTCCTGCAAGAATTAAAGGAGGGAAAGAAAAAAAATCATTTATAAACCTAGGCATTAATGCAAGTTTACAAGGTAAACTCACAGAGACAGAGGCTGTGTCTGGCTTGCTTGTCTCAGTACCCACAGGACCTAGCATTACACTTTGCACATACTGGTTCCTCAAGTAAATTTGCTAGATGAAGGTATGGTAGCCCTAAAGTTAAAGGATTCTCTGTTTGTTTGTTTGTTTTTTGAGACAGGGTTTCTCTGTGTAGCCTTGGCTGTCCTGGAACTCACTATGTAGACCAGGCTGGCCTCGAATTCACAGAGATCCACCTGCCTCTGTACCGCAAGTGCTGGGATTAAAGATGTGTGCCACCACTGCCCGACATGATCTAACGGTTTTATCGTGGGAGAAAGAGTAAACGGAAAAACCGGCTGGTGCCATGTGTGCCATGCTTGTGCCTGCCAGAGTCCTTCACAGACCATAAGCACAATACTGAACCTAAAGCACTACAGCATTTTCATGGCTGATTTCAGCAGAAAAGGAAGGGGAAACGTGTCAAATCATATTTCTCCATTCTGTAGGGTTCCATCGGTGGCAACTACTGAGCTGCTCAGAATCTCAACATAGCCCTGACTAAGTCCCTCTGTTATCGTTTTTCTTAGAGTAAGAAATGGTATTGATAGAAATTAATTTCTGTTTTTGTTCAGCTAAACTTCAAAGCAGAACTTTCTGTTATATTGAGGACTATTTATCAAGATTTATGGATCATTTTTTAAATCAAATGAAACACTTTTTTTTTTGCTAGTTTTAAAGTTAACTTAATCAGCTGGGCGTTGGTGGCGCACGCCTTTAATCCCAACACTCGGGAGGCAGAGGCAGGTGGATCTCTGTGAGTTCGAGACCATCCTGGTCTACAAGAGCTAGTTCCAGGACAGCGTCCAAAGCCACAGAGAAACCCTGTCTCGAAAAACCAACCCCCCCCCCAAAAAAAGGTAACTTAATCATCCTGAGTATGTTCTATTCTGTAAAGAATAAACTACATTCTTGCCAAAACTTCTGCAAAGTTCTTTAAGATTTCTTGGCCACCTTCTTTGACTCATATTTCTGGCTTATTGTTTTAGAGATTCACCAAAAGGTGACCTTGCATATTTTTTTAAACTCAGCTCCTTCTCTTCAAAACTATGATTAAGAACAGCAACCCCCCTCTCAGAGCCACCGGCATCTTGGCATCTCGTTGTCTTCCTTCAATGGTTTATTCACCATGGCTGTCCTTTCGTGGTGCTTGTGACGACGCAGCAGGCAAGCCTGAGCTCAGAAGGAAGTGGGGGCAGGCTGCTCTGACACCACTAAAGCTCAGCTGGATGCTGCTCATTCCCTGGGCTCTGGGCGTGACCATTCAGGGTACCTGGCCAGCTGGGGGATGGTCTGAAGCCCGGCAGGCTGCATCCAACCTCTAACCTCCAGAAATGCTGCTCTCTCTCCAACATCCCCGCTGCGTGGCCAGTGGGAGAATGAAGATTAACGGGGTTCTCCCACTTCCTTTGCCTCAGATGCTGGCACAGAAGCCCAAGCCTTCTTTTCTGTTTATCAATTCCTTCAAACTTAACTCTCATTTGCTAAAACTGTCTAGACAACCGAGAGAGTGACCTAAGGCAGAAGATACCAACTAAGCAGAGCCCCAGCTCAGACTGCAGCCTTGACCAGAGGAGCCCAGCTATGCAGAACCCATATTCCCACAGAAACTGCAAGACAGTAAATGTTAGCATAATTTGTTACACAATACCCTAACTTTTGCTCCCTGTGAATGTGACTTCATTTGAAAACAGGAAATGGATTAGACACAGTGGTTTGTAGTCCTGGCTTCTGGGAAGTCCTGGGAAGCTGTAGCAGAAGGCTGAAAATCTGGGCCACCTGGGCTACACATGAGGCCTTGTCTCACAATGGATCAGCTGAATTTAGGTGAATGCCCACACACCCACGCTTATAGAGAATTTTAAAATGTCATAAAAACTTAAGGTGTCTAATAATTAATCAATTCCTTTTTTTTTTTTTTTTCTTTTTTGGTTTTTCAAGACGGGTTTGGAACATGTCCTGGAACTAGCTTTCTAGACCAGGCTGGCCTGTAACTCAGAGATCCTCCTGTCTTTGCCTCCCAAGTGCTGGGATTTAAAGGTGTGAGCTGCCACTGGGCCACCACTGCCACCGGCAGAGCATTACAATGTAACAAGTTTGTTACTTTTCAAATGAAAAAAGAGACAGAAAGGACTGCTCAAGGCAGCACAAAACCCGGGCCAACTCTAGATGGATAATAACAATATTTATTCCATAAGAGAAAATGATTAATCATAAAAACTTTGTCTTAAAAATAAAAAAGCAGGGCTGGCGCAATGGCTAGGAGGTTAAGAGCATTACCTGCTCTTCCAGAGGTTCTGAGTTCAATTTCCAGCCACCACAAGGTGGCTCACAACCATCTACAATAGGATCTGGTGCCCTCTGCTGGCATGCAGGCATACCTGCATGCAGAACACTGTATAAATAAAATAAATCTTTTAAAAAAATAAAAAAGCAAGCCAGTTCAGAGAAGCCCTGTCTCGAAAAGCCAAAAATAAATAAATAAATGAAAAAAAAAAAGAAAAATAGAAACTCCTCCACCTAAGAAATAAACTAATATGAAATCGTCACTTCTCTTATAAGAAGTCACATTCACAGGAACTTTTTGCTCTACCTTACCTAACACCTGAGATGCCCAGCCCTATGTCTGAAAACTGTCCAGTCATGACAAACAGGAAGCCTGAGAAAGATAACTCCATGGCCAACCCCAACTCTCCTGACTTGGAATCCTGTACTGACCACTTCTCTGTTGCCATCTTTGTATCACAATGTATTCACTCAGCTCAATAATGAACACACATTAATCACTACACCACTTCACACACCTCCATGTAACAAACCTAGATTTCTTTTATCAAGCTCTGAAATGATAATGTCCAAGTAAGCAGAGTTTCAATAATGTCCACATGCCACAGTGTAAACAAGGAAAGCCATTTTCTCTACATTTCAGTTGCCTTACATGTTTCATTCTTCCTCTGTTTTGTTGTTTTTTCACTGAGTGCTGGGATTAGTGTGTCACCATGCCTCACTCAACAGAGGATCTCCCCATGCAGCCCACGCTGCCTGGAACACCCCACCCCACCGTGTGCGTGGGCGTCTACCTCAGTAGTAACCTCTGCCTCACCCAGCACATGAGTGCTGTTTTGTAGGCAGAGGAGAGTTGTTTGGAAACAAAACCGAGCAGACTCAGCAGACAAGGGTGTAGGCTGCAAACCTCTATGGAGCCTCTTCAGCAGATCGTCCGAGTATTTCAGGGCACCAAGGTAAACAAGAATCTGAGGCAGTCTGTAGTCAGCAAACATGGTGATGCTGGATATGTCCTCAAAGCAGCCGTCACCCTTTCCTTCCAACACACTCCACGTGTCCGCCACAAGGATCTGAGCTCGTTTGTAAAAGGAAATCCTTTTCCCCTGGTGATTGGAGAATACATATCACCGATGGTGCCTTCTGAGATCTTAGTGTATACTATTTAAAAACGGCACTGGACGGAAATATACTGTTTCAAAAAACAAATCAAGGGTGCAACAATCCTATTCTGTTGCTAAGATTTCAGAGAGTAAAAGGACCTGACAGCAAGATGGTTCCACAAGCTAAGGTCTGTGCTGCCCAACGACCCGCATGGTGAAACTGACTCCCAAATGTTGCTCTCTGACCTCCACTCACTGTGCATTACAGCACACAACCCTGACCCGAAAACATAATGAATACATAAGCCTCACGATTTACCTACTTCGAGACAGGGTTTCTCTGTGGCTTTGGAGGCTGTCCTGGCACTGGCTCTGTAGACCAGGCTGGCCTCGAACTCACAGAGATCTGCCTGCCTCTGCCTCCCGAGTGCTGGGATTAAAGGCGTGCACCACCAACGCCCGGCTGAGTGTTGAAATATCTTAAAGGAATAAAAGACAAAAGAAAAGGAATCTCTGACTGTAAAACAAAACGTAATGCATTTGAAACTCTAATTTTGTTACTTCTTCTCGTCCACAGGAAACAAGCTTCAAATTTTAAGTTGCTAGCCTAAAAAAAAAAACTCTGGACACAGAGAAACCCTGTCTCAAAAAAACATCCGCTCTGACATGCATCCCAGTTGCTGTCTGGGAGGCCAGCACAGGACTGATCCAGACCCTTGAACATGGATGTCAATGAGGAGGCCTCCGCAATCTAGGGGGCCCCTGGTAGTTGATCAGTATTTTCCCTGGTGTAAGAAGGGACTTTGAGAGCCCATCCCACGTGAAGGGATGCACTCTTGCCCTGGACACATGGGGAAGGGCCTAGGCCCAGCCCAAGGATCATGTGGTCGACTTTGGGGAGCCACCGTCAAGGACCCTACCCTGCCTGGGGAGTGGGAGGGTGGGTAGGGTGGGGAGCAGGTGGGAGGTTGGGGGAGGGGTGGGAGAGGGAGAAGGGATTGACATGCGAAGCAAGCTTGTTCCTAATTTGAACTAAAAACAAAAAACAAAAACCTGCTCTGAAGAAAAAAAGCATTAACTTGGAATTATTACGAACTCTAAAATCCGCCAGCAACAAACTCACCTCAAACTGTGCCTCGTCTCTGTAAGAAGGAAAATTTTCAACAACCAGGCGCATTAGCTTCTGTGCACTTTTTTCACTTTTTTGGACACAATTAAGAAAAGAGCCTCCAAACTTCTCCAGCAGAATCTTCCCAGTTTCGTTGAGAATTCGATGCCTCTCTTCTAGTAAAGGCATGGGCACGGCTGTATCTGAACGAAATATATCCCGAACTTCATCTAGAGTCACCGTGGCGTAGTAGGAGGCGCTGGTTACTGGTATCCCTTTAAAGAGAACATTCACAGATTTTTAGAAGTTGCAAATAACACGGAATCAAATGTGTGGTAAAGAATTGGGAGTGTGCTAGCGCCGGCCTACTCGGAGCATTCGGAGGTAGAGGCAGCAGGATGGGATCCCTTCAAGGCCAGGGCTACTCGGTGAGACTGTCTTTCTCTCAGAGGCCTAGAGTTCAATTCCCAGCACCCTCAAGGTGCTTCACCTGCTTCTGTAACTGTAGTGCAAGGGGATCGACGTCCTCTGTGGCCTCCGTGGGCACAAACAAACAAACAGCAAATAAAATAAATAACCCCAGAATAAATAACCAAATGAGTGCTCCAGACATGCATCAGAGCTGCACAAATAACAACCTGAAGCAGCCCCACCCCTCTCTGTGTCCTTAGGATAGCAATGTGAAAAACTGTAGTTTCCTGGCATAAAAAGTTCTATAATGTGTCCCTTTCTTCTTCTTCAGGCAGCGTTCGTTCATTTCTCATTTGTTTTCTTGTGACAGGGTCTCGCTCTCCTCTAGGCAAGCTCAGGCTGGCTTAGACCCCACAGGGACCCTCCCTGGAGTGCTGGGACTGCAGACAGGAGCGAGGACACCCAACTTAAGCGGACTTTTTTGTTGTTGTTTAAATATTTTATTATTAGGTACACAGTGTTCTGCCAGCATGCATGCCTGCATGTCAGAAGAGGGCACAGATCTCATTATAGATGGTTGTGGTGAGCCATCATGTGGGTGCTGGGAACTGAACTCAAGACTTCAGGAAGAGCAGCCAGAGCTCTTAACCTCTGAGCTCTCTCTCCAGCCCGGACTTTTGTTTTAAAAAACTGGCTTTGTGTCGTCGTGTCGTGTCTCCCCGCCCCCCCCCCACTGCCCCTGGCTTGGCCGGCTGAACACGGAGGGACCCGGACGGACGGATGGAGGATGCACACACGCAGGCAGGCAGGCACACACGCAGGCAGGCAGGCAGGCACAATTTCTCATTTGTTTTCTTATGACAGGGTCTCGCTCTCTAGGCAAGCTCAGGCTGGCTTAGACCCCACAGGGACCCTCCCTGGAGTGCTGGGACTGCAGACAGGAACGAGGACACCCAACTTAAGCGGACTTTTTTGTGGTTGTTTAAATATTTTATTATTAGGTACACAGTGTTCTGCCAGCATGCATGCCTGCATGTCAGAAGAGGGCACAGATCTCATTATAGATGGTTGTGGTGAGCCATCATGTGGGTGCTGGGAACTGAACTCAAGACTTCAGGAAGAGCAGCCAGAGCTCTTAACCTCTGCGCTCT